TGAAGATGGAACTTGCTTAGGCTAATGGAGATAAGAGGCTATCAGAAAATGGACTATCTCACCTATGAGATCTTTTACACACACTTCACGGTAACCACTAAACAAAGAATCAGAATAGAGCCACAAATCATAAATAAAGAGAAAACCACCAAACTGAAATGGCAGTCAGAAATACAAGGGAAGAGAAACAACAGAAATATAGAACAACTAGATAATAGCCCTAATATAAATAATCACTCTAACTGTAAACGGATTGAATTCTCCAATCAAAAGAAACAGTGGCTGGATGGATTAAAAAACAAGACCCAACAATGTTCTGCCTCCAGGAAACATGTCTCAGCTCTAAAGACAAACACAGGCTCAGAGTGAAGGGATGGAAGATGATACTGCAAGTAAATGGCAAACAAAAGAAAGCAGGTGTTGCCATACTTATATCAGACAAAACCGACTTCAAAATAAAAAATACAATGAGAGACAAAGAGGGGCAGTATATAACGAATAAAAGGGACATTCCACCAAGAGGACATAACACTTATGAATATATATGCACCTAACACAGGAGTACCAAAGTATATAAAGCAACTACTAACAGACCTAAAGGGAGAAATTGACAGCAACACAATAATAGTAGGGGACCTCAACATCCTACTTACATCAATGGATAGATCATCCAGACAGAAAGTCAACAAGGAAACAGTGGCCTTAAATGAAACACTAGACCATATGGACTTAATAGATATATACAGACTATTCCAACCAAAAACAACAGAATATACATTTTCTCAGGTGCACACAGAACATTCTCAAAGAGAGACCATATGTTGGGAAATGAGGCAAGCCTCAATAAATTTAAGAAGATTGAAATCATATCAAGCATCTTTTCCCACCACAATGCTATGAAACTAGAAATCAGCTATGAGAAAAAAGCCAGGAAAGCCACAAATATGTGGAGAGTAAACAATATGCTACTGAACAACCATTGGATCAATGGAGAAATCAAAGGAGAAATCAAAAAATACCTGGAGACAAATGAAAATGAAAATACAACATACCAACTCTTACGAGATGCAGCAAAAGCAGTCCTAAGCGGCAAATTTATAGCCACTTAGGCCCACCTCAACAAACAAGAAAAATCTCAAATAAGCAATCTTAAACTACAGCTAACAGAACTACAAAATAAGAACAAAGCCCAAAGTAAGCAAAAGGAGGAAAACAAAAAATTAGGGCAGAAATAAATAGAATAGAGACTAAAGCAACAGTAGAAAGAATCAATGAAACTGAACTTATTCTTCAAGAAGATAAACAAAATTGACAAACTCAGCCAGACTCACTAAGAAAAAAAGACAGAAGGCTCAAATAAACAAAATTAAAAATGAAAGAGGAAAAATTACAATGGATACTACAGAAATACAAAGGATAATAAGAGAATCCAATGAAAATCTATATGCCAACAAATTGGATAACGTAGAAGAAAAGGATAAATTCTTAGACTCATACAACCTCCCAAAACTGAATCAAGAAGAAATAGAGAATATGAATAGACCAATAACAAGTAAAGAAATTGAAACAGTAGTCAAAAACCTTCCAAAAAACAAAAGTCCAGGACCAGATGGCTTCTCTGGAGAATTCTAGCAAACAGTCAAAGAATATTTAATACCTACCCTTCTCAAAGTATTCCAAAAATTCAAAGAAGGTGTAATGCTTCCTAACCCATTCTATGAGGCCAACATTACCCTGATACCAAAACCAGACAAGGACAACACAAAGAAGGAACATTACGGGCCAATATCACTGATGAACATAGAGGCAAAAATCCTCAACAAAATATTGGCAAAATATTGGCAATACATTAAAAGGATCATACACCATGATCAAGTGGGATTTATACCAGGGATGCAGGGATGGTTCAACATCTGCAAACCAATCAATGTGATACACCACATTAACAAAATGAAGAGTAAAAATCACATGATCATCTCAATAGATGCAGAGAAGGCATTTGACAAGATCCAACATCCGTTTACAATAAAAACTCTCAATAAAATGGATATAGAAGGAAAGTACCTCAACATAATAAAGGCCATATATGACAAACCCACAGCCAACATCATACTTAATGATGAAAAACTGAAAGCCATCCCTCTGAGAACAGGAACAAGACAGTGGTGCCCACTTTTGCCACTCTTATTTAACATAGTACTGGAGGTTTTGGCCAGAGCAATCAGGCAAGTTTTCCTCTACCTTCTAAAAGGTATCAAATTGGAAAGGAAGAAGGGAAACTCTCGCTGTTTGTGGATGACATGATTCTATATATGTAGAAAACACTAAAGAATCCACCAGAAAATTATTAGAAATAATCAACAACTACAGCAAAGTTGCAGGGTAAAAAAATGTACTTAGAAAAATCAGTTGCATTTCTATACACTAATAATGAACTAGCAGAAAGAGAAGTCAAGAATACAATCCCATTTACAGTTGCAACAAAAAGAAAAATATATTTAGGAATAAATTTAACCAAGGAGGTGAAAGACCTATACACTTAAAACTATAAAACATTATTGAAAGAAATTTAAGACATGAAGAAATGAAAAGACATCCCATGCACATGGATTGGAAGAATAAACATAGTTAAAATGTCCATATTACCTAAAGCAATCTACAGATTTAATGAAATCCCAATCAGAATCCCAATGACATTCTTCATAGAAATAGAACAAAGAATCCTAAAATTTATATGGAACAACAAAAGAGCCCCAATAGCCAAAGCAATCCTGAGAAAAAAGAACAAAGCTGGAGGCATTACAATCCCTGACTTCAAAATATACTACACAGCTATAGTAATCAAAACAGCATGGTTTTGGCACAAAAACAGACACACAGATTAATGCAACAGAGCTGAAAGCCCAGAAATAAAACCACATATCTATGGACAGCTAATTTTTGACAAAGGAGCCAAGAACATACCATGGAGAAAGGAAAGTCTCTTCAATAAATGGTGATGGGAAAACTGGACAGGTACATACAAAAGAATGAAAGTACACTGTTATCTAACACCATGCACAAAAATTGACTCAAAATGGATTAAAGACTTGAATGTAAGACCTGAAAACATAAAACTCCTAGAATAAAATATAGGCAGTACACTCTTTGACATGAGTCTTAGCATCTTTTCAAATACTATGCCTACTCTGGTAAGGGAAACAAAAGAAAAAATAAACAAATGAAACTACATCAGACTAAAAACCTTCTGCAAGGCAAACGAAACCATGAACAAAACGAAAAGACAACCCACTAACTGGGAGAAAATACTTGCAAATCATATATCCAACAAAGTGTTAATTTCCAAAATATATAAAGAACTCAACAACAAAGAAACAAACAATCCGATCAAAAAATGGGCAGAAGATATGAACAGACATTTTTCCAAAGAAGATATACAGATGTCCAACAGGCACATGAAAAGATCTTCAACATCACTAATTATTAGGGAAATGCAAATCAAAACTACAATGAGATATCACCTTACACCTGTCAGAATGACTATCATTACCCAGACAAAAAATAACAAATGTTGGAGATGATGTGGAGACAAGGTAACCCACATACACTGCTGGTGGGAGTACAAACTGGTGCAGCCACTATGGAAAACAGTATGGAGATTCCACAAAAAATTAAGACTAGAACTAGCATACAATCCAGCTATTCCACTCCTGGGTATTTATCCAAAGATCATGAAAACACAAATGTGTAAAGATGTACGCACCCCTATGTTCATCGCAGCATTATCCACAACAGCCAAGACTTGGAAGCAACATAGGTGCCCATCAAGGGACGAATGGATAAAGAAGATGTGGTATATATACACAATGGAATACTACTCAGCCATAAAGAAAAGATGAAATCTTTCCATATGTGACAATGTGGATGGACCTTGAGTACTATGCTAAGCGAAATAAGTCAGGGAGAGAAAGCCAAATACTGTATTATCTCACTCAGAAATAGAAGATGAAAACAACAACAAACAAACACATAGATACAGAGATTAGATTGGTGGTTACCAGACAGAAAAGGGAAAGGGAGGAGGGCAAAGGGGGTGACTAGGCACATATATATGGTGATGGATTGTATTTTGTCTTTGGGTGGTGAACATGATGTAATCTACACAGAAGTCAAAATACAATGATGTACACCTGAAATTTATATAATGTTATAAACCAATGTTAATTAAAAAATTCAAAGAGATTTATGCACCGTTATGTTCATTGCAGCGTTATTCACAACAGCCAAGATGTGGAAGCAACCCAAGCTCCCATCAACTGATGAATGGATAAAGAAGATGTGGTATATATACACAATGGAATACTACTCAGCTACAAAAAAGACAAGATCGTCCCATTTGCAAGAACATGGATGGACCTTGAGAGTATTATGTTAAGGGGAATAAGCCAGACAAAGACAAACACCGTATGATTTCACTCATATGTGTAAAATAAACAAACACGTGGATAAAGAGAACAGATTAGTGGTTACCAGAGGGTAAGGGGCTGGGGGGTGGGCTAAAGGGGTAAAGGGGCACATATTTATGGTGGTGGATAAAAATTAGACTAATGGTGGTGAGCACGATGCAGTTTATACAGAAACTGATATGTAACAATGTACACCTGAAATTACGTAATGTTATAAACCAATATGACCTCAACACAGTAATTGAAAAAAGAAACCCTTAGAGTTTAACTAAAGTAAGACATATTCTCTACAAACTCTTTATTTTTAAGTGTTTTGTACTTCTTTTTTTCTAATTAGAAAAAACTATGTATCAGATGGCCTGTACATGTCCCTGAGCCCCACGCTCCCCCAGCCCCCCTGCTGAAAGCAGCCTTTTGAAATCGTGGTCAATAATGCTGGGTCAATAACGTGGGGTGTGCTCACCCACATCTGTTTGTCAATTTCTGCTCCATAAACACGATCACAGATGCACACACACACTCCGTATACTGTACCTGGTTCAGCTTATCCTTCTCTTCAGTGCAGGAGGCTGCTTTTTTCTGCTCTCTGTTCACTTCTGAAACCAGCCTCATGATCGTTTCTCTGCTAGCTTTTGCCTCCATCTCATGGACATTTATAGTCTCTTCAAGAGTAACGATTTGTCCTTTCGCAAATGCATTTTCCTTGCACAGCTCTCTTAGCTGAAGAGAAAGCAATTACAGCCATCCTGTAAAAATTAACAATTTCATACCACTTTCTCTAAGCAACTCTGATCTATATACCCCAATGCCTGCATTATCATACGAAAATAGTAAAAGCACTAACCCTCCATCCACTCAAAAGATCACATTTTCAAAGGCAGCCTCCAAACTCTGCTGTTATGTGCAAACCTGGCGGTCAAATTAAAACTAATCAAAAGGTAGCTACAAGGTAACAATGATGAGAGTTCAGCCAAAAGCTTCCCAACAGAACAGGCATCAGCAAGCCCCTGGCTGCTAAATAACGAAGGAGAAGCAACGTTCTACAGAGGTTACAGCAAGTGAGGAAACAAGAAAGTTCTATTCAGGCCACATCCACTAGCACCAGCTGTGTGCAAGGTGCTACCTGGCTGGGGTGGGTGGGGGGAAGACAAAGAAGAAGACAGGACTCTTTTAAAAAAGTAAAAAATCTTTCTAATTAATATAAGCCTAGAAAAATCCTAAATAATATGCTCAAACAGTGGTTATCATTGGGATTAGCAGGGCTTTCGTGCTCTATGCTGTACATTTGAGTTGTTAAGTGGGAGTATTAATAAGATTTGTAAGATTTACAAGGAGAGAAAATAAAATCAAACAGGCTTCTTGGCACCAGGGAACCAGTCATGCAGACGAGTTCACTCTATAAGGCCATGAGGATGCTATAGGAAGACCTGAAATTCCTCATTTGTGTTACGACTGTCTGTAGAAGTGACAAATCTTTCAGCCTCATGGCGCCAACATGGTACCCTGCTGCGACTCAGGGCTGCTCTCTCTCTCATGAACACTTTACCTCATATGTGTATGCTTACTCTCCAACATCCTTTGCAAGTCCCCACCTCAGAGGGCACTCCTCAGCCCGTTTACCTAAACTAGCATCCCACGCCTCTGACTGCTTCACTCTCTGTCCCCGCATCCTGATTTGTTTTCCCTTGTTACACCTGTCACTATGAGGGATAATATTAGATATTTGTTTATTTCCTCTCCATCTTTACCCCCTGATAATGAAAGCTCTAGTAGGGCACAGACTTAGTCTTGTCTCACTCACTGCTGTATCCCCAGAACCCAGAATAGTGTCTAGCATATAGTGGTCACTTGCTAAATATTCGGGAAATGAATGAATAAATGTCAGATAAGTTCTTAAGAATGCCTCCTTTTCCACCGTGGTTCCTTGGGAGTGTGTGCACTTGTGTTTATAAGGACTGGAAAATTGAAGGAATGGCTTTGAAATTGAAGGAGTGATTTTGGTCCACTTCTCAAGGGAACACCTAGTGAGTGTTGATCAAGACAGCAGCCTTCTTGTTCCAGTGATTTTTTTTTTTAAAGCCAGGCACCTGTTCAATTGATGGGGATGCTAAAGCTCTAGGGTCTTAGTATCTGTTTTAAAATACACATTCTATTATTATTCACATATGGTGAGGCCAATAGATCAGGAGACAGTTGCCATTGCAAAGATAGTCTGTTAATCACAGTTCCCAAGAGGAGGGGGCACCCATGCCATGCAGGGCCACATGGGGAGCACCAGAGCCAGCCAAGAGACAGGGGGAGCAAGGGGAAAACGTGTATTCCACAGGAAGGAATGGGCAAGGCTGGGTAAGCAGGCTTGGGATTGGCTAGTTTGACTAATTTCAGCAGGCTCTGGAGTGTAGGAGCTGTCCCTAGTTGTCTGATACCTGGCCCTGGGGTGATCAGGGCAGGTGGCTAGTGGCCCAGAGTGTGAGAGCCTGATAGAAGCAGCAGTTGGGGTGTGGGCTCTGGATTGCATATGAAAGCCATGCTCCCTGGAGAGTCATTTCTAGGAACTGGCTGACCCTGGGAGTGGAGCAGCAGTCTCTCCTGGGTCAGCAAGGCCCCGGATGTGAAAGCATTAGAAATGCAGAAAATAAAAAGGCATGATTAATACAATATCAACACCCAGATTAGCATCTGCAGATCATCTCTGATGTGGGAAAGGGTGTTGTGAAAGAAGGAGCTTCTTAATTCCATTTTCCTTTCCCCACAACTTGGCTTTAAAGACAATCCCCCAAACTATACTGGGAAGTGGACTTTTACAGGCAGGCTCCTGGTCACATGTTAGCAACTGGGAGGAGGAGGAGATGCACCCGTCACGCTCGAGAGTATCAGGTAGACTCTAGGCCTGAGCTACCAAAACCTATCCGTGAAGTAGACACTTCCAGAAGTAAGACGAAATCATTTTGCAGCTTTCAGAGAGTACTTGGGAAACTTATTAATAAACCACTGAGAAGTGGCCTTTAAGAATGGCTGCATGGGAATCTGTCAGGCAGCAAGGACACAAACGGTGTGTAGATGACAAGATATGGTGAGTGCTCAAACACTTTCAGTCACCCTAATGAACCACTATGGGCCAAGTGAATTATTCAATTGATATAATTAATTTCCATCTTAATGGCAACCTACCATTAAAGTAGGATTTTCATTATTTGGTTTCAATGTAAAATTAAAAAGTACTATAGAACTAATCATAACCTTATACTCAATAAGTATCCCCAAAATGACACACAGCTGGTTTTGATTTTGGTTGTGTGTGTGTGTGTTTCTGTCTGTAACTAAAACAAACAAACAAAAATCTTCCTAAAATACATTGTTAAAATGAATAATTAATTATATTTGATAACCTAAATATATTGTAGAGAAAACAATTAATCTGGAGAATAATTAACCCCAAATAATGCTAGAAAGGATCTTGGAATTGAGGCTCAGAGAGGTGATATCGTTTGTCCCAGGTCACACAGTCAATTAATGCTACACTTGGGCCACTGTCCCATTCTCCTGCCACCCCCAGACTCAAACACAACTCTCCCTTTCATGGCACATGTCAGAATGACCACTTAATTTATAGTCTTTTTAATTTGCATACAAACACCTTTAGAATTAAATCTTCATCTGATGCCTCTTCATTCTTCTTGTCTGGATCTAAGCAATCATGAAGTTGAGCTAGAAATTCCTCATGTTTCCTGCAGTTCGTTGAGATTTGATTCTTATTCTTCTCGTTTTCCTTTAAACACATTCTATCAGGCGATAACAAATAAGTCAAGTTTTAACACTATAGAAGATTAACATTCATCATAGTTCAGAACTCAAGCTCTCAGTGGGGAATAACCAACCATCATTTTCAACACAACACAGTTTCCCAGACACAGAACACATCATTATCATGCAAGCCCTGTACGCGATGGAAAAAACTGGAAGCAATTCTGGGCACCGATACTTTACAGAAATGTAGTGCAATCTTCATGGCATCTTAGATCTAGTAACAGCAAGGGAGACAGACTCTTTACCTCCTGTCCCCAATCTTTTAGGATCTGCAGAAGTGGCACGTAGGCCTCTAGATCACACATGAAGCCATATAGTCATGGGTCTCTGTTGGGGCCCCAAGAAGAAGAAGAACAGTACTACTACATTGGTTCTAGGGGACCATGCTTTCTTTTATTTTCAAACATTATACAGTGATCTATAAAGGTTAGTTAGGCATTCCCTGGCTCATGGTCAAGCATAACTATAATAAAAAAAAAATACATCAAGAGCAAGAGTTGTTCCCACCTCTGGAAAAAAGACATGCTCAATCACCAGCAAAGATCGTCATCAGTTTGCATACACCCAGAGTTTTTGAAAAATATTGGAATGGGCCAATCAAGGAAAATCTGTCAATTTATGATGCTCTGCTCTGAATATTTGATTTCAAATCTCAGATAGGTTTGCTGAAATAGCATGGTCTATTTTTAACGCTTTAAATGTTAAAGACTAAGAGATCATCAAAAAATGGACATATTTTAAAGGAAAATTAGAATCATTTCAGTAATTTGGTATCATTTTTTCAGTACCCTACATAATAAACATGATTATTGCTTTTCCTTTTTGCCATGTTGAGTGTTTATTGGAAATTCTTTCACTCTATTCAAAGATTAACAAAGCATGTAATTGCATATACTCAAAAACATATCATATTTCCATTTAGAAAAATGCATAACAATAAAAGACCAATGTCAATATATCTCTAAATTCTTCTTTTCAGCATATGAAAGGTAACATTTACTTCTGACTCAGGAAAGGCACAGTGAATGCTATAGCTCTTATTGAGTAACATATATGATTTCAACCCCCAGATTTCAATCTTACTTCTCCATTCCAGGGGTCTCTAAACTATTTCCACTTCTATTTGCATTTCACTTTGACCCAACAAAATTCCAGGAATCTATCCTAAAGACATAATCACATGAATGTGAAAATATGAACACACATGGATATTCATTGCAGATTGGTTTACCATTTTTTGCGTGAACTAACCTAAGTGTCTAAAGGAAACAGCAAAGGAAATGAGTGAAGTAAATTATGATATTTCAGGCAATAGACTACCATGGGCCATTAAAATGGTATAATGAATGACTTTTTTAAATATCTACGACATATTATTCTGTAAAAATCATTCATTACATGAAGTCATTTGTGTACAACAGTCTGAAAAACTGTTCAACAAAATGTTAACTTGAGCTTTTCTGGAATCATAAGGTCTTGAGTAATTTTAATTTCTTTTTGGTACTTTTCCATATTTTTTAAAAACTATTTTACAATGAGTATGTATCATTTTTACTATTCATTTATTTAATAAATATTTTTGGGACACTTACTATGCACCAGGCCCTATGAAAGGCACTAAAGATATAGTAATAAACAAAATAGATAAACATCCTTGTCTTCATGGAGCCTATGTTCTAGTTGGGAAGATGAACATTATCAAAATATTAATGTATGTAAAAGGTATAGCATGTTATAAAAGGGCTGGAGAGAAAAAACTAAGCAGGAAAGAGGGTAAGAAATATTTGTGGGGAGCAGGTAAAATTTTAGCTGTAGTCACTCATGGAAGCTCTCACTGAGAAGGTGACTTTTGAGCAAAGACCTAAAGGAAGCAGAGGGGCAGCCATGTAATAACTGGGGGGAACCAGCTTTCCAGGCAAAGGATGAGCAAGTGCGAAAGTCCTGTGGTAGGATCACACCTGGTATGGTTGAGGGGCAGCAAAGGAGCCAGTGAGCTGGAATGGAAAAAATAAGAGAGGGAGTGGAAGCAAAACCATTTAGGACATAGAAACCACTTTTATTCTGAGTGAGATGAGAAGTCATTGGAGGGCTCTGAGCAGAGGACTGATGTGATCTAATCTGTGTTTTACAGCATTGCTCTGGCTGCAGAGGGCACAAGCAGAAGAAGAAAACCACCTAAGAGGCTGTTGCAATAATCTTGCATGGACCAGGTTAGTGGCCATGAGGGTGGCTATGGGAAGTAGTCAAAATTTAGATTTATTTTGAAGGTAGAGATGATGGGATGTGCTGAAACATCAGACATGGAGTGTAAAGAGAAAGAGACCTAAGGATAATTACTTACATTTTTAATCTGATCAACTAGAAGAACAAACTGATCATTTTTTGTGTGTGTGTGAGGAAGATCAGCCCTGAGCTAACATTCATGCCAATCCTCCTCTTTTTGCTGAGGAAGACTGGCCCTGGGCTAACATCCATGCACATCTTCCCCCACTTTATATGGGACGCTGCCACAGCATGGCCTGACAAGCGGTGCATGGGTGCGCGCCCAGGGATCCGAACTCTGGCCGCCAGCAGTGGAGCGCGCACACTTAACCGCTGCGCCACGGGGCCAGCCCCCGAACTGATCATTAAATGAGATGAGGAGAAGCACAGCAGGACTTGGTAGAAACATCAGGAGCTGTTTTGGACATGTTAAGTTTGAGATGCCTCTTGGACGTCCACGTGGCGATGTCCAGTAGGTAGTAAGATATGTGGGCTTGAGTTCTGGGAAGAGATCCAGGCTAGATTTAGAAATGTGGGAGTCACTAGCATTTAGACCAGACTTAAAGTCATGAGACTAGACGAGATCACCAAGAGAGAGAATTTAGACAGAAATGAGGAGAGATTCAAGGACCAAGCCCCAGGGCACTCCAACATTTGCAAGTCAAGGAGATGGGGAGGAAAAAGCAAGAGACTACAGCAGCAGCTGGAAAGGTAAGATAAAAAGCAGGCGTGTGGAGTGTCCTGGAAGCCAAGGCAGAAAGTGGTTCAGGGAGACACCAACCGGGAGTGATGTATTGACAGGTCAAGTACATAAAGACTGATCACTTAATTTGCAACGTGTGGTCACTGGTCACTTTAACGAGTGGTTTCAGTGGAACAGATCCAAGAGAGGAGAGAGGAGAGAAATTGGAGACCGTGATTATATATAAATATTTTAAGGAGTTTTGCTGTAAGTGGAAGGAGAGAAACAGAACAGGAGCTGGAAGCATTGGTGTGTTTTTTTAAGATGAAATAAGTAAAATAAATATCAATTATTTTATTAATAAAGTTATTTAAGTTACTATACATAGAATTACAAAAGCATATTTTAGGAACTAGTTTCTAATTTTGTCTCAATAGTCACCTTTTTTTTTTTTTTCAGTGAAGAAGATTGGCCCTGAGCTAATGTCTGTTGCCAATCTTCCTCTTTTTGCTTGAGGAAGATTGTCCCTGAGCTAACATCTGTGCCAATCTTCCTCTATTTTGAATGTGGGACGCCTGCCACAGCATGGCTTGATGAGTGGTGTGTATGTTCATGCCCAGGTTCTGAACCCGAAAACCCCAGGCCACGGAAGCCAAGCACGCGAACTAAACCACTACACCGCCAGGCCAGCCCCAATAATCACCTTTTGCCAGAACGAAGTGTGGAAAACCTAGATTTCATGAGTTCTCTGCAAAAACTGGTAATAAAACCTAATGAGAAGTGTTTGGGGTGGTCTGGGGTGGTCTGGGCTTCCAGGGTGTTTTTACAACTAGCTTCTGAATAAATGCCTCCCTCTGTGTGCTCCCCCACCAGCTCTGGTTAAACCTCCTACTTAGAGGAAATCTTCCATATTGTATACATAAGCATTTGCAGCCCTAATCAATAGGACAGGAATATGCTTAGGACAAGGCCATACTTGTTAAGACTCTTGCAGGTATTTAGAAATGAGTTGGGAAAAATTTTCAAGACTCCAAAGTTATTTGAGGTCAATGTGTCTATATATAATTTTCAAATTGAGTTTCAGGGCCAAATAATCCAAAATGCCAGTACCTTCGGAGGCGTATCCTGCTATCAGAAGCTAGTATTTTAACACTAACTCAACAAAGAAACATACTGAAATATCCTTACTGTAATTTTTCATCTAGTTCTATCACTTTCTTCTTTAACTCCTGGTTCTCCTTAGTTGCAGTGTGAGCCATGATTTCTGTTCTAATTTTAGAAGCGGAAAGTGCCGCTGATTCTTCCTCTAGCTCCTGAACTCGGTCTCTCAAAGAGGTGAGGAGAGATGATTTTCTGGCATTGTTTTCTTTGTAGTTTTCCATTTCAGCTTTCAACTCTTGACAGGAAACTTCTTTCGAAAGCATCTTGGATCGGAGGTCTCGAAGCTACCATGGAAAAAAGGTAAAAAGAGGAAAAGAATTTCAATGGTATAAGTTTGAAGTACCTTTAAGAAACCCAAAATCATACTATAAAATTTCACTCTTTCATTCATGACTTAATCCAACTTTACTTCCTTTTTTGCATATTTGTATCTGCATTACCAGATGGGAAATTAGGCCTAAATAATGGGCTTCATGTTCTTTTTCAAAACCAATTGAGCAATGTCTTATGGTGGTTTAGTCTCGCTCAAGAGACATTTGTGGTGTATTTTGAAAAAAGCAATAAAATATTTTGCAATGGTAACTCACTTTCTAAATCTGTATTTCTGCTCTTGCTGCTGCCAATGAAACAAGGAACCTACAAGCTACGCTATTTGAAATTTCATGGCCACAACTGTTTTCCAAGTAAATACAGACTATTCAATATATCACCATATTTCCCCCACATGCCTTCTGGACTTTTATGGTTGGTGATAAAGAAAAATAATATGCATATTTCTCAGAAAAATATGGGAGAAAAGGAAAGTTCTTATAGGATTTATAAAAAGGAAACATTTTAACTTTTATGAATTCTGTGGCATCTAAACTTTGAACAACGTATGTGCCCTATTAAGGTAAGATATCAGGTCCACTCTATAAGAAAACTTTATGAATGCATGTATTTCTTTGGAATTGTGAGTATGCATACATATGTTTATTTACACACACATACATTATCAACTCATCTTTCTGTGGGGTCCTGGCAGCCCAGTGAGACTGCTAGTTACCTCACAGGCAAGCCTGGGATTCCTCAGGGCCACCAGGCTGTGGGCAGAATGGGTTTAGAGAGACTCTCTCATAAACGCCACCACAGACCTAATCCAGCCCAGAGGTTGGCTGGATCCCTATCATCTTCCTAGAATTTACCCCAGCCAATAAGAACTACCACCAGAAAAGGATTCAGAATTCCATCCTAAGAGCTCCAGACTGCAGGCAATCTATATTAAAGGAAGGCATTCTGAGAGATGCTAAAAGTCCTCTGAAGCCCTTGCATTCAAAACCCAAAGTCCTCAGATGCCCATAGATCCCTCAAGGCCATGGAGCTCCTCTGAGATCTGGAATCCAGCCCACGTCACCTTGCTTTGCAGCATGGCAAATGCATAACCTTTCTGGAATTCTCTAGAACTAAGGAGTAGGAGCACAATAAGAGAATAAGTTTAAACTTTGCCAAAAGGTTTCAATCTGCGTCCTGCTGTCCTATTTGTAATCGCCTCTACGCTCTACTTCACACTGTAAGGAAGCTAAAAAGGCCCATTTCTGAGTTATGAAGATGCATAATCTTACCTCAGACTGAGCACATTCGAATTTGACCAAAGTTGCCGCAAGATCACTTCGAGCGTTTTCAGCTGCATTCCGATAGTGGTTTAACTGGTCCCGAGTGACCGGGACTTCCAAAAGATGATCGTAAGTTCCCTGATAGGGTTCCCCCAAAAGACAAAATATAAAGAAGAGTCATAAACAATCTTTTCTGTGCAGCTGTGCAAAGCAAGATTAAACACAGAAACATTCCTTCTAGTCAAAATGTGTCAAAAATGCTACCCAGGGAAATGCTGTGTTCAGATATTTCATCCTTATGCTCAAAGTTCTGAGGCAGGACTCAGCCCAGGAACGAATGACCCCCAGGATGGTGGTGAGGTCGGGCATTTAAGCATTGGCCTGGGCCACTTTAGACAGTTTCCTTCCACTCAACTCAAGGCCATTTGACCTCTGACCAGAACTGATAGAGTTAACAAAGAACTGTCATCAGTGATGCAATGTGACATCACACCCAAGTAGGAGGTGGTGTTCATTGTTCTGTTTCCAGACGACAAAGATTATCAACTCATCTTATCTGTGAAATAAAGTGTTTCGCTTGTTTATCAAAGAGATCATGTGAGTTAAATGCAAAAGCCTGTCTCTTTCATAATTACTCACGATGCCATTTATTCTCAATCTCATAACCTATCTTGGGATCATGAAGGTGACTCAGGTGAATGCCTGAGACCAGAGACAGTGTGGTGGTGCATGAAGAGTCCTTGCCCTTCTAGAAGGGAACAGTTCTCAACTTCACGGATGGCTGCCAGTGCAGAAACATGGATCCCAGCATGGCCAAATTACCCCAATTTTTCAAGACTAGTCGTATATCCAGACTTTTTGAGGTAAAAATTCCCAGTTTTTGCAGCTTGGCTTAAATGTTTAAAAAAGAAATACTGTATGATCCACATAAATCCATCTGCAGAGCAGATTGATGGGTTTGGCATGTGGGTCAGAGTTGCAACCTAGAGTTCTGTTTCTGTTCTGCTTCCTTCAAGAATCGTTCCTGAACTTGGACTGACACCTACGCCCACCTCTATGAATTTTCCAGGGCCTGTGGTCTTTGTGAAAGAAGTACCAGAAAGCCATTCATTTTTGAAGGAATATAAAAGAGGTCACATAAAGGAAGTTTTCTTGGAATTTTCTAAGTGTCCTTAGAGGACACACCAGTAAAACCTGTTTATGACCGCCCAGGTGCTCAATTGCCAAAGACGACTGTTTGGAAAACTCATGAATGCAAAAGTCATCTTAAAGCCCTTAACTTGACAACAAGTGTTGTCATGACGAGTGTGTTTCAGTCCACAAAATGCCAAACAAAACCCTCAGTGCACTTAGGAACAGCCCGTGTTTGCCAATCACAACATATCCAAGAAGATGGTAGGTATGTACTCCTGGGGAAAAAGCATAAAACGTTTAACTGCATCTCATAAGAGAACCACATCCTGTTCAGCCTCACTCAATATTCAGAAGGAACTTCTCCACCCTAACCACCACAGCAAGATTTTCTAAAGTAGGCCATGTGAGGACCTAGGTCACTTAAGAGGTTGGAACTATAGTGTGTATGGCACGCCATTTTATAAAATTCGTTAGGAAAATAAGTTCCCCCAAGCTATGGTTATGTCTTTCAATGACTAACATCATTTTTTAAGAAATGACATAGTCATACCATAATTTTTTGGGTGTGTGTGAGAAAGATTAGCCCTGAGCTAACATTCATTGCCAATCCTCCTCTTTTGGCAGAGGAAAATTGGCCCTGGGCTAACATCCGTGCCCACCTTCCTCTACTTTATATGTGGGACACCTGCCACAGCATGGCTTGATAAGTGGTGCATAGGTATGCACCTGGGATCTGAACCCACGAACCCCAGGCCACTGAAACAGAGAGCGCGAACTTAACCACTATGCCACCGGGCTGGCCCCAGTCCTACCATAATTTTATAACTCCTTCTTGGGAAAAAATATTGTGTCCAGTGGATTTAATATTAAGAGCCATGCAAGACAGTTCAGATAGTGCCCTTCATTTTAGTTTACAATCTGGTGCAGAATGCCAAAAGCATTAGCATCGTCAAATGTTCATGAATGAATGAAACAGCATATTAAGATATCATTACCTCTGGGGCCGGCCCGTGGCTTAGCAGTTAAGTGCGCGCGCTCCGCTACTGGCGGATCCGGGTTCGGATCCCAGGCGCGCACCGACGCACCGCTTCTCCGGCCATGCTGAGGCAGCGTCCCACATACAGCAACTAGAAGGATGTGCAACTATGACATACAACTATCTACTGGGGCTTTGGCGGGGTGGGGGGTGGGAAGGAGGAAGATTGGCAATAGATGTTAGCTCAGAGCCGGTCTTCCTCAGCAAAAAGAGGAGGATTAGCACGGATGTCAGCTCAGGGCTGATCTTCCTCACACACAAAAAAAAGATATCACTACCTCTGACACTGGAGCAGGGCCTACGTTAGGAAGACTCTTGATTACTGAGTTTAGAAAACAGTTGCTAGGTCTAAACCACCTTTTCAAGTCCCGCAGACTGGAGATTATTCATTAAAAATATTTACTGAACGCCTGCTCTGGGTCAGGCACTGAGCTTTCAGTCTAATAAGCAAAAGAGCATTTATCAAACAGCCACACTAATGATTGCATAATTACAAACTGAAATAAGGCAAGGAAAGAAAGAAACAGAGAACAAAGGAAACTGACTTATGATTAGGAAAGTGGGAAGGAAAGATTTCCCTAAGGAAGTGATGATTAAATAGAAATTAAATAGGCAAGAGATACTGAAGCAGGAACAACACACATCATTCAAATAGCCAAAAGTCTGAGCAAAGGCCCTGTGGCAGGAGTCTGCCCTGTGTGGTCAAGGATCTAAGAGAAGGCAGTGAGGCTGAGGGACAAGAACAGGTGGAGAACAGTGGAGGGAGCACTTGAAAAACAGCTCTGAGCTCATTAATATATTTTAGTACCTGGTAGGGCTTCTTTTTCAGAGTATTCCTGGCTATTCTCACTTGCGCGTTTTACCATATGAAATTTAGAATCAACTAATCAAATTCCAAAAAATCCTGTTGGTATTTTTATTGGGACCATGTTAATTTTATAGATAAGCTTAAGGAAAATTGACGTCTTCGAAATGTTGTCTTCCAACTAAAATCATTTTTTCCTTTTGTTCAGGAATGCTTATATGTCTCTTAGCAGTTGAGATGGTTAATTTTATGTGTCAGCTTGACTGGGATCACAGGGTGCTCAGATATTTGGTTAAACAATATGCTGGGCGTGTCTGTGACGGTGTTTCTGCATGAGATTAACATGTGAATGGTTAGACTGAGTACAGCAGATTGCCCTCCTCAATGTGGGTGGGCCTCATCCAATCCGTTGAAGGCCCAGATAGAACAAAAAGGCAGAGGAAGGGAGAAGTTGCTTTCTCTGTCTGACTGTCTTTGAGCTGGGACATCAGTTTTCCCATGCCTTTGGACCCAGACTCAGATCAGAACTAAGCCATCAGCTTATCTGGGTCTCCAGCTTGCCAACCACAGATCTTGGGATTTCTCAGCCTCCATTATTACTGGAGCCAATTCTTTATCCTAAATTTGTTTCTCTATACATCCTACCAGTTCTGCTTCTCTGGAGAACCCCGACTCAGCCCCACAGACACCACGGTGCTGAGCGGGGCTCTTGAATGTGCCACAGAAATGCATTCCTTCAAGACACTCAGAGGTAGCCTGACTGAGAAGAAATACACGGCAGTAGCACGAGAGGATTACAAGGACAGGGAAAAACCATATGAAAGCTGGACGAATACGTGAATTTATTTATTTATGGCTAAGCTTTTCTTCTTAGCCCTTCTTTCGCAATCCCGTAAATCCTTATGTAGTGTTCTTCATAGCTATCTTCTAGATATTTGTCAATTTGCTTTGGATTTCTGCTTTGGCTTGAGTCAAGAGCTTTGTTGTTGTTGTGGCTCTTTGATTTCTGGGTTTGTTATGGATTTCTACTTTATTACACATCAGAGAACGTTGTCTGAGTTCAGGGCTAATATTCGCTGGTGTACACCAGTGGCTGACCAGCGTCCATTCAGAACTGGGTCCATTCAGACTGGAAGGTGCCCCTGCTATACCAGCTGTTACGTATTTTCACCATCATCCTTGTCTGTATTATTTCTACTTAGGGAATTTATTGAGGTTTTTGTGAACGCCCAATTTTATGTGTGTCCTATGGGCACTTAAAAAGAAGGTGTATGCTCTGTGTTGAGGGCTTGGAGTTCAATACATATCCACTAGTTCCACCTGATTCATTATCTTAATTAAGCCCTTCTAGCCTCGCCTAATTACTATCCTTTATCATGAGCTGAGAGATGAGTTAAAGCCTCCTATTGCTACTGTAATTCTCCATCAGCTTGTAGCAGTTGTTTTCTGGCTTTATGAATGCCGGAGCTGTTTTACCTGTGCAAAGATTCAGAACTTGCATAGCTTCGTTGTGAATTGCATCACACAGCATCATAATGTGCCGTGATTTGTCTCACTTAATCCTTTCTGCTCTGAATTCAACCTTTTCTGATAATTGCAATCATAATCCCTGATTTCTTTTTCTTTGCGTCTGACTGCATCTACCTTTGTTCCATCTTTTGACTTTCCACCTCTCTGAATCACTTCATTTTAGATGCCTCATACGTAAATAAAGTTGGGTTTGGCTTTATGATCAATTCTAAAATTCTTTTTCCCTTATTGGATGACTTGACTACATTTACGTTTGTTAATGTGACAGAAACGTTTGATTTTAGTTCTGCTGCATTATTTTACGTTATGCTTCTTGTTTTTATCACTCTTTCAAAATATTTCACTGCAGAGTCTGTTTGCTTTGTTTTGTTTTATGTGTGTTATATCTGATAATTAGGAAGGTTTGTATTTTTGTTCTACTTTTAAGTTTATAACTTACTTTAAATAATACTTTTTACATAATACCTTTCATCCCTCTATATGTTAGATAATATTACAATTTACAATATTTACAATAGCCTATCTCCTCTTCCTTACCAGTTTCTCCCTCTCTTCCAACTTCTAATTCGTTTTTCTTTTTTTTTTTTTTTGGTGAGGAAGATTAGCCCTGAGCTAACATCTGTTGCCAGTCCTCCTCTTTTT